TCTACTGACGCGGCCGGCGGCTCTCGTTGGATTCAGTGTTCTCGTTTCTCCGGCACGGTTGGGCGGTTGTCCGGCGGCACGGCGAACCGCCCACTCACGGTGAACGGCCCGTCCCCACCGGTCAGTCATCACACCAGGAACTGCAGCGGCTCACTGGCTCGGCTGGTATTGATGGCTTTTTCCTTTTCTAATCAGCACATTCCCAGTCGCTGATGTGTGTGTTATGTAAGTTCCTGCAGGCTGCTGTGCAGGTCTCTATGCGTGGACAGTGTGGTGTGCGGCCCTGAGACTGAGCTCTACAGAATTGGACTCTGCCGGACCACAGTGTGTCCAATCGGTTCCAACAGTCTTCTTCACAGCTCCTTACTGGTTGCTCCCTTTCTCATGGCTTCCTTCCGCCCCACCCCACCCAGTTATGGTTCCTCTCAATTCTGCTCTCTGGACCCCTCCGTCTCGTGTACCTTACCGGTACACGAGACGGAGTGTACCGGTATGTATGTACCGGTACATACATACCGGTACCATATGTACCAGCATGTATGTACCGGCGCGGTGACGGCGGACTGCGGAGGCCGTCCGTCCGTCCGTCCGTCCGTCCGTTGACCGCTCCACCTGTCACCGGCGCCGAGCCCCCCCCCCCCTGTCCGCTGACCCACTGACCTTACACGGCGGCGCCACGGCCGGCGGCTGAGTCCTACCCCGCCCCGAGGAGATGTCACTCGGCCACAGACCCCGTCATCGGCGCCTGAGGCTGTCACATACACCGCGCTCTCCTGCCTCGCGTTTTGCAAGCGCGGTATTCTTCGTTAGCTGGGCGGTGCATCAGTCCGAGTGATGTCACCCCGTCCCCCGCACGTCCCACGTCCCGCGCTCTGTTTGTCCCGCTCTACCCCGCCCCCTCCGGTGCCTCCCCCGCCCCTCCGCCCCCTCCAATGTCGGCGCCGCCGGCGAGTGCCGCTCCGAGGGCCGGCCGGCGCCGCTGGCTGCCGACCGCCGCTGCACTGTCGGTGGCCCGGCTAATGTGGCCTTGACCGCTCGACTACCGGCAGGGCGGCGCAGTCGGTCGGTGTCGGTCCTCTGGGTGGTGTGGTCTGTTCAGGAGCGGCAGCACGTGCTCCGCCGGGGAGAGGGGTAGAGCGCTGTCTGGAGAGAGGGGAGATATGTCGGTGGGAGGAGCGGTCGGCAACAGTGGCCGTCACCTCCTGCGGCTAGACTTGACAGGAATGGCCGACATTGCAATGACTGCAACGGGCGCTCCGGCAGATCAGCATTGTCGCAAGCGGCAGACCAATATTATACCTTGCAGTCCAGACCAGCACATCATCAGTCACATGCAGACCAGCACATTATCAGTCACCTACAGACAAAGGGACGGACGGACGAAAGGGTGGGACGCCCGTGCGCAACACGTATTGCGTGCTTGCATCAGTCAGCGCTTCGTCCGTTTACTTTGTGGTGTTGTTTTATCTGCGCATTAACGGTCGACGAAGGTCGAGCTCTGAGGGAAAGAGGCTCGCCGATGGAACCAGTTCTCAAAGGGTCTACCGGGAAAATCAGTTTCCCAAGGGCTTCGCCGAGGATAGGTTTCTGTGGACTGCACCGCTGTGATGATGTCCGTAATGCACGGGGACAGGTAGCCGTTCGCCATTCTGGCGTGGCGCCTCCGAATCAGTACTGGCACGTTCTCAGTGCGTGGACACTGGACGGCTCAGCGCTGGGTGGTCAGCGCTGGCGCCACTCGTCTCCGGCTAAGCAGGGCTCAGCACGGCTCTCAGCAGGGCTCAGCTGGGCCCAGCAGCACGGCGCTCAGCACAGAGCGGGGCGCGCGGTTCATGGCCCAACTCCCTCCGGTAATGGTGAGAAAACAGCCGGCGCTGTGAGCCCGCCGGGCCCGAGTGGTGAGCCGGCGCCACCGTCTGAAGTGAGCCGCCAGCGCGTGTGTACCGAGTCGCGGTGCTCTGCGGCCGTGTCGATGGCCGCGCTCGGAGCCGATCGGGGGCTGACACGACCGAGAGACGGAGCGGCGGCGGCCGGCGGCGGCCGGCTGCCGACGTTATTTATCACCGGGATCAATACTGGACGGCTCACTCACTCAGCGCGACCTGCCGCGCGCCGCGGCCCGTCCGAGGACCGCTACCGCTGTCTGATGACCGACTACCGCTGTCGGAGGGTCGAGGACCGGCTACTGCGGCTGCCGGAGGACCGTGTATCGCCGCAGCCGCTCCGAGGACCGGCTGCCGCTGTCCGAGGACCGCTACCGCTGTCTGAGGACCGCTACCGCTGTCTGAGGACCGACTCCCGCTGTCCGAGGACCGGGTACCGCTGTCCGAGGACCGGGTGCTGCTGTTCGAGGACCGGGTGCTGCTGTCCGAGGACCGGCTACCGCTGTCTGAGGACCGACTGCCGCTGTCTGAGGACCGGCTACCGCTGTCTGAGGACCGGCTACCGTCGCTGTCTGAAGACCGCCCACTGCCTCGGTCGGAGGACCGGCCGCTGCCGCTGTGGGGTCGGAGGACCGACTACTGCCGCTGTGGGGTCGGAGGACCGGCTACTGCCGCTGTGGGGTCGGAGGACCGACTACTGCCGCTGTGGGGTCGGAGGACCGGCTACTGCCGCTGTGGGGTCGGAGGACCGACTACTGCCGCTGTGGGGTCGGAGGACCGGCTACTGCCGCTGTGGGGTCGGAGGACCGACTAGTGCCGCTGTGGGGTCGGAGGACCGACTACTGCCGCGTCGCGCTGTCGGATTACCAGCTACCGCCGCCACGTGTTTGGGCTATTGTCGCCACGGCACCGAGGTGGTGCCGCCACGTGGATTGAGCTACTGTCGCCACTGCTCCGAGGTGGTGCCGCCACGTGGATTGAGCTACTGTCGCCACGGGGCCCGTGCACTGCCGGTACAGGGCAGGTGTATTAGTTTAACTGCCAGTGTGAGGGCGCAACCAGGGGGTCCTCCGCATTGTCGCCATCCTCGCTGTCCTCAGTGCGGGACTGAATCGGTCGGCGGGTCAAAGCCTGTTATTGTTCGAATCAGTTGCTAGCCGGTCGAATCTCGATGCCTGAAGATTACGGCCTCAAAGCAGCAGTCCGATGCCTGCAAAGCAGGCGTCTGCAGTGCTCTGAGCGGTTTGCACAGGTATTAACTCCGTCGCGGAAGTGTTATCGGAACGGCTGAGCGCGCAGCTGCCCGCCGCCCGGTGGTTCGCAGTCGGCCGCAGGGGTATGCTGATAGGCCGAGCCGAGCCAGTGGCTGCTAAATGTCCGCTCGTTGTATTAACAGTAACGGTTACGGACTCATTGGGGCGAGACACCAATGCTAAAACTTGGCAACAGGTAGGTCGGATCCCTGAAATCACCATTGAAATTTAACTGGTCGCGTGAGAAAGATGGAATGGAAAGTATCGACGGCACAGGTGGTAGTTTGTGCTTTGAGTTCATTAACCCTCGCCGGCCGAGGGGGGGGGGGCGGGTGCCGCCCCCCCATAGGGTTTTTTTCGCGATAGCTCCGAACACGCTGGCGATAGAGAGCTGAAACTTGGCATACCTGACCTTTGATCCAAGCCGGATCTTTTGACACCAACCGCATTTTTGGGTCAGATCAGGTCACTGACCTATGACGTCATAAGTGAACCTCTGCACGGTCTTCAGATGTCGCAACTTCGCAACGCCCTCACTGCCAGAGGAGATGTCACAGGGAAATGAAACTTGCAGGATCTAGTATCCATTATGAGTCCCGCAACTTGTATATCTCGGATTTTTCATAAAGGTCATATGAGGTCAGGTCATTTTCGTGACCTCACCATTATAAGTCAATGGGGAAAAATTCAAACTGCTATTCTGGCGCCGGGAACGATCTCCAACTATCTCAAGCACACAGAATCGTGATTTGATGCACTCCTTGCAAGGTTAGATGCGTCACTTTTGCAATGTTGACCTTGCATGACGTCATTTATGACGTCATCAAGGTCAAATTAGTTTTTCGTCAATAACTCTTGATCAAATTGAGCTAGCGAGTCGGGAAAGGCACCAATGGACTCAGGAAGGCCTGCCGAATCGAATGATATGCGACATGACCTCTTTCGACCAACTTCGTGACCTGGGGGTGCTGACCTGACCTTGACCTGAGGTCAACACCCCAAGTTGACCTGACCCGGACAAAAAGTATATCATTCGACGCGCCTGAGCGAGGCGAACACGATGCTGCCAAAATCGGCGCTCTGCGGCCGTTTTTTGCGAAGTTATTCACCAAAAACTGAACCGTACCCTGGGGCACTTGACCTGACCTCAGAGGTCACCGGTTGACCTAGGACCTTAAAATCGGGTACCAATCTCTGCGTCTCGTAACGGCGCACACGCTCGTTTTTTCCGCGACGCGCTAGCTCCACCAGGGGCGAAACGGCGAGGGGGGGGGGTCGTACCCGCCCCCCCCCCCTCGGCCGGCGCGTATGTAGAAAACCAATAGGTCCGGCGAGGGTTAAATTTAATGCCGAATTGAGTTTCAGAGCGTTTTGCGCACCACACGATTAGTTAAACGAACCCCCAGCTGCTACCAAGCATGGACCCAGTAAATATTGTCACAGTGCACATAAAGGGGCTCTCCGTTGCTTCTTTGCTACCTTTCGTTACGGAGGGCCTTAGACGCTAAATACTGCAGCTTCTTTTCATACATTGGCAGCCGAGCTCCCCGCTCACTAGCAACTTCGAGAGTCGGCTGTCGCAGAGCCGCTCTGTCCGTGCCCATCCCACTGAAACGCGCTGACACCGCACCCCGCTGACGGGCGCTGTCTGACCCGCACCCCGCTGACGCGCTGTCTGCCCGCTGTGCCACACCCCACTGACGCCTGCTGCCTGCCCGCTGTGCCGCATCCCACTGACGTCCGCCGTCTGCCCGCTGCCCACCCCACTGACGCGCCGTCTGCCCGCTGCCCACCCCACTGACGTGCACTACCTGTCCTGTGTCCGCACCCCACTGACGCTCTCTGTCTGCCCGCTGTGCCGCAGCGATGGACTCGCCGGATGCGACGCTGCAGTTCCAGTTCCAGTGCGGCCTGGACCGCGGCTCGGTCACCGTCGACACGGCCGGCCTCACGCTCAAGACGCTCAAGGAGCACGCCTTCGACTTCCTGACGCACAAGGTGGGTGCCTGCGGACGGACGGCGCGGCGGCGGGCGGCTGCCAGCGGCCGGCACGCTCCAGTTCACTGGGCGCCGCGCCGGTGGCCTTCATTGGCCGTATCGGCCGGCGGCCGCTGCCAGCCGGCGACGGTCGAGTCGGTCTCGGCGCCCGGGCCTTTGTGCTGCCGCCGGACCGGTCGGGGGCCAGGGGGTATATAACTGGTAGGCTGGGCTGGGCACCAGCGGACCGGCCCGGGATGGAGGTCTGTGGTTGGTTTCTGTGTTTCTACCTAAGTAGGAATAGAGGCAGAAAGCATCGCTTTGTGAATGCTTGTTTCTGTGCTTGTTTTCGCCAGTAGGCAGACCGCAAGTATATTTAGCTATTCGCAGTTGGTTTGACATCTGTCCTGGCATTCGGGGGTCCGACTGGGTCACTGTCTGTCAGCGAGCTCGTGGTGCGTCGCCACTTTTCCTGCTTGGCAGTGGTTTCGGGAACGCGTTTTTTACTATGGTCCGTGGCCCTTTTACGTGTATTTTACACGGTTGTCTATTGTTGCATTTTGCGCAGGCTGGTCTGTTGTATTATGTACGATGGGCGTTGTGTAATGTGCATGGTGATTTGTTGCTGTGTCTGGTGCGGGTTGTTGTGCTGCATTTTGTGCGACAGATACGGTGATCTGTATTTTGTATGTACGTGCTCCATTGCTGTATTGCGTACGGTCTGGTCTGTGGCGGTATTTTGTATGTATGGTCTTTTTTACCGCGGCGGGTGAGCCGGCCGGAGTTCCGTCAATATTGACCGGTCGCGGGCAGAGGCCGGCCGACCGGCGCGCGCTCTGTGTACCGAGAAAGGAAGGCCGGAAAGGAGAGACAGCGGGAGAGAGAGCGAGCGAGACAGAGGGGAGGACCAGTCATTGGCCCTGGCCCTGATCTCAATCTTGACCTGACCTACTTGGATGGCTGTTCGGCTCTCACGGGCGCCCGGCCGTGACCGTGACCCTGACCGTGACCGTGACCTGGGCGCGGAGAGGGCAGTGTCGGCGCCCGCCGGCCGGCCGATCCTGTGTCCCGCCTCCTTTCCCGGCTTTATCCCTGTCCGCCGTTTCCAGAGTCGATGACCTGCCTCTCGGTCCCACGGTGCACTGCGGTGCCACTCGGCGCGCGCCCGGACCGGCCGGGCCCCCGGCCGTGCAGACCGGCTCACAGTTGGGAAATCCCCAGCTAGAGAGCACGTCCGGCATGCCGGCGAGTCGGCTGGCCGTATATGGCACTGAACTCGGGGTGAGTCAAGTTATTAAATAATTTTACCAAATGCAGCTATTTTAAGAAGACCACCAACGTGTATCGTCAACATCCTGATAGCCGCATACTGTGTCGTATCCCGATCCCTGGGTAGCGGGTAGTAGCCCCGTGCCCCGGTCCCTGGTGCTGTGCCGTATCCGGATCCGTGGGTGGTCGGTAGTGTGTAGTGTGATTCCAATCCCCTGCACTGGGTTGTGAGCGTATTCACATGCCAGAAGACGCCGCCGACCCGACCCGCCGAGTGCCGCGCATTCCTCCCACAGCAGCGCACCGTGCCCGGCCGTGACGTCATGGCACCCAGTGGCGTCATCGGTGACGTCACTGTCCGATAAATAAACCATTGCCGGGCCGGCGGAAATGTCAGCGCGTCGCACCGGCAGGTCGATCTCAGCCGTACCGATGATGGGCTGTTTTTGCGGTGCGTTTTTTTTCTGCCCGAGATGGCGGCTGCTGTGTGAGCCCCGTGGAGTGGTAGAGGCGGTGCGGTGGCGGCGGTGGCGGCGGCGCTCTCACCTCTGTACCGCGCGGCGCGGCGCCCCCGGTCGGCCGTCCGGTCTCTGTCGTATCCGGGTGGCCGCCTCAAAGCGGGCTGGGCCGCGCCGGATGTCACCGGGCCCCGGCGGCCGGTCTCGTATGACGTGAGTCCGGGACGGGTGTCGCACCGGCCGGCGACCCGTCCCACCGGTCATTGAGGCCGACAATGGCGCCGGCCGCCGGGTGGGCGTGGCGGCCGGCCGTGTGTCGCCGCCGCTGTCGACTCAGCGCGGCGCCAGCCGGAACGACTGGCGGCCTGTGGCGGAGGCCGGCCCGCCGCGCCGCCGCCGCCTCGGCCTTCGGTGTCCGTGTCCGTGTCGAAATGCGGGGAATACCGGGAGACCGCAGAACTGGTGCCAGACGCCCGGCCTTTGTGTCACGAGGGTGGGTGGACGGGGGCGGGAAGAGTCGGCTAGAGGTCTCAATCGGATGCCTCTTTGTATTCCAGCACCAAGACAGTGCCATTATGGTGTTCGGATATTTTTGTTGGTGCCCCATATTGTCATTATTAGCCTAGTGCGCTGTAAAGTTTTTTTTTACCATCCCCTGCATAACGGTTGTTTAGGTATATTCGCTGTTCCAGCCAATGTCTCGAAATCGACATTAGTACTAAAAATCTGTAGAACGTTTGTGGACGGCGCTGGGGGGAATGTGGACGGTGTGGCGCGGTGTATGGACTGTGGCTGTGGGGCGCACCGGCAGAGCTGTGGCGGTGTATGAGGTGTCCGCTCGTTCCCCGTTGGGCGCGGACAGCGGCCCGTACTGGACACCCGGAGTGCCGGCCGCGCCGCCCGCCTCCGGGACCGGTGGATCCGGTCCGGGGCCGGCCCGGTGATACGACAGCCTTTGGGGGCCGACCAGGCTCGTTATCGGACGGCGCTTATTTCGGGCCCGCTATGGACCGTCCGGAAATAGCTGCCTATCTGTGATGTATGACGCTATTTGACGACTTGGCTACTGTTTGCTCAGAGCAGTAATGACACCCACTGCTACCATTCGTATATCCTGCTCGTATAGCGCGGACCCGTCACTTGTGTAGCGCCTTTCCGCCGTGGCGAAGTAGGGCGTTTGACCACGGTCGATCTGATGGACGCCTATTGACAGAACCTGCTGTCAATGGACTTCCCTGCGCGACTCGCCGCGGGCTGTCGCCGCTCTGAGTTGTCCACTGAGTGGGGCGGCGCCGCGCTCAGGGCCGGCCCGCCCTGCACACAGCGCCGTCGCCGGCCGGGCGCGCTCCGCCAGTCGTCACCGGTCGCCGCCGACTCAGACGTCGGCCATGCATTTACCATCGGCGGCGGCGCTGTGGGAAGTTTGCCGTGCGGCCGGTGCGCTGAGGCTAATGTCAGGACGCTGCACCTCGGCGGCGGGAGCGACGCCCGCCGGCCGCCGCCCGTCGGATAAAGGTCAGACGGTCCGCCGTCGGACCACAGCGCCTGAGTCGACTGGGAGGCCGCCGCCGCTGTACTCGCCGCCTTTATAACAGCGGAGCTCAGAGTAAACAGGCACTCGGTACGCCACACCCGCGCAGCTCTGGCTTCCGTACCGCACATTAAATAGGTACTGGCTTATTTGCTACGTGAATGTTCGTGGCAGTGGCCTCGGCCGCCGCTCCTAATGTGCGGTGCAACCAACCGCTGCCACTGGTAGCATCATCATGGGGGTCCATCACCTCGCAGCCGACTGTCGACCCCAGGGAGACTGCTGGTCTATATGTGCGGTCCTCCCCAGGGAGACAGCGGCTGTCCGCGCAGTCCATCCCAGGGAGACACTGGTGGTCCGCGCGGCCTCTGTTGGTCCGTATGGTCCACTGTTGGTCCGCGCGGTCCGCTGGCGGTCCTCTTGTGAGTCTGTGACCCCCAGGGGAGCGCTACCCGGACGCTGAGCTCGGGTAACCTATGGCCGTCATTTGCCGGCGATCATGCGACGGGCGGTAACGAGGAAATGGCATTCCTGTGTCGTGCCGGCGGCGTGTCCCGCCCGGCACGGTCGGCCGGCCGGGCGTGCGGTGTAGACGTGTGCAGTACCCAGCCATTGCGTCTGAGCCACGCTGCCACACCAGGGCGTCTGAACGTCTCGCCGAGCCGGGCCGCTCTGGAAGTACGGCGACTCGGATCGACCGCGCTACGGAGAGCTGACTGACGCCGGTGGCAGTGTTGCTGATCGCCAACTGACGACGATGGTAGTCAACGCTGTCGTCTGACAAAGTGACGTCAGTGACAATGATCCTGGTCACTGAGTGACTTCAGTGACCAGTGACTTGTCCACGGTGTTACTGTCAACAAAATACATAAGTTGCAGTGTTGTTTATAACCAACGGACACTGCCAGTGCTTCCGATCATCAGCCGACGTCAGACGGGGTGCTGGAAGATGACGTCAGCGTGCCGTGTGTGTGTTGGATAAATAGTCCATCAAGCGAGCAGCACGTAATCAATGTCGCTACACCGTGCAACGGCAAGACAGGACGATGGTCGCTGATGTGACTAGTTTGTGGTCGCTGACGTTTTTGGTTCGTCATTCCACCGGAGAAGTGGTCGTGCTACGCCTACAAGCTAGTCGGCCACACTGATATCTTGGAACCTGCTGGCTGCTACATACAGATAGGTACGGAAGGACATCTTTGGGCGATATTGCTCAGTTCTGGGTCACATTAGGTATGCCCCGTTCACGCTGCAGAGCTCAGCCGGCGAGCCGCAGTCGGCGCACTTGCAGACGACGTGAAAGTCCGTGCGAACTGCGACGGGTGGCTAGTGGCATATTTTCTTGTGCTTCGGTTTTTCTAAGTGAAGGGCGACACTTGCTTAAGCGAACCAGAAAGACGGTCTCACTCACTTCCAAACCAGAGAAGGTGATATTTTTATCGTGCTAGCTATTTTATCGTCTCGTATGAGCTATGTTATCGTCTCGCCGGTTCCCGCGAAGGTGATGTGCAGTGGAGCGGTCCGGCTGGTGGAATGTCTGTGCGTGACCGGTGATCCGGCGATAGGTGCCGCGGATGGTCGGTCGCGGGGTATCGGTCGCCGCATCTGGCACGCTGCCGGCCCAGTCGGCTGGCGATCCGCTGGCGATGTGGAGAGAGGGATGAACCGTTAGTCGTGCCAGCCTTGACGCCTATTTCCCACTCCCATCCGCGCAAGGGTCTGCTTTACCTTCGGCCGTGCACGGGTCTGATTCCACCTATCTGTCGTGTTCTGGTGTTTGCCGGTGGCCGTCCGTTTTGTTTATCACGCTATGCCCGTCCATTCCTTGCCCATCGTATGACCGCCCCTCTGTCCGTCTTTTGTGTGTCTTGCCCACCTTTCCGTCTGATCGTCTACCTGTTTGTGTCTAAGTGCTACCAGCGGCCGGACCATGCTCTGATCTGGTCTGCCTGACTGTGTTTATGTATCTGTGTGCCGGCAGCGACCTGTTCAGAGGCCAGTTTCACCAACAAAAATAGACGGCTGCGATTATTTTTTGACAAAACGATAGTCTCAAAATGTCATTTACTGCTGAAAATGCGAGTCGGTGACTTGAAAAATGTAGCAATCTAGCTTTCAAGTGCTGTATTATTTGGTCAGCAATTACTTTTTCACCTGTTAATAGGATTTATAGACTATCGTTTTGTCAAAAAAATAATCGCAACCGTCTATTTTTTGTTGGTGAAACTGGCCTCTGGTCTATCAAACCGTGTGTGTGTGTCTGTGTGTCGCCAGCGGCCGGACCATGGCCTGGATTATCTGACTGTGTTTGTGTGTCTGTGTGCCGGTATCGGCCTGTTTTGATCGGCCTGACCGTGTTTGTGTGTCTGTATGCCGGCAGCGGCCGGACCATGGTCTGCAGTATCTGACCGTGTTTGTGTCTGTGTACCGCCAGCGGCCGGACCATGGTCTGCAGTATCTGACCGTGTTTTGTGTGTCTGTGTATTGCCAGTGGCCGGACCATGGCCTGCAGAGTGCAGTATCTGACCATGTTTGTGCCCGTGTACCGCCAGCGGCCGGACCATGGCCTGCAGCGGCTGCCGGAGAACCTGCTGCTGTTTCGGCACGACCCGTCGGCGGCGGCCGTGCTGCAGCTCATCAACTCGGTCACCGACGTCACCACCAACAGCCTGGTGGAGATCGTCATCAGCGGTCAGTGCCTACTGCCTACCACATCCTCCTGCCTACCACAGTGCCCACCCGTGGGGATGTAGGACGGGTGTGTGACGTCTGCCCGTGTGGTTAGAACTGGTCTCATACCGTCTGCCTGTATGTATGGGTGGATGTGGTTGCTTACCGCATCCCTGTGAGCATTTAGCCTGGTTCCGCACAGTCAACCCGCCAGTCTGTATGGATGGATGCTGGTTTCGAATGTACCGTCTGCCCTGTGGCTGGATGGTGCGCCGCGCCGCGCCGTCTGCCTTGATGGTGCGCCGTCTGCCTGCCGTCTGCCTTGATGGTGCTCCGTACCGTCTCCCGTATGGCTGGATGGTGCACCGTACCGCCTTCCGTATGGCTGGGTGACGTTCCGTGCCGTCTTCCGTATGACTGTATCATGCACCGCGCTGCCTGCCGTCTGAGTGATGCACTGTGCCGTGCCGTTCCGCTGTGTGCCTGGATGCCGTCTCGGCTGCAGTTGCGCGCTGTCAATAGCGGCCGCTCGCTGCGCTGCGTGTGACGGCGTCATTACGAGCTGGCGGCCTTCCCCGCGGTTAATTAGCACCTTTTTCCGGTATGGTAGCAGCCGCATGCATTGTTGAGGCGCTCTGCGGGGCGGCGGCGCGCGGCGCAACGCTGCAGCGGCGGCTGTGTCTGTGCTGCTCTCTGGCCGCTCTGTCTCCGGCCGGCGGCTCCCGGCGCCGGTCCGTGGTCCGTCCGGCTCCCAGAGCCGGTCTGTGGTCTATCTTCCGTGGTCTGTGTCGCGCCGCCGAGCACTCGCACCGACCCGACTCCGCCCCGAGGCTGTACCGGCTCTGTGACCCATCGCCGACACACCAAAGACGCCCAAGCCATGGGTAAGGTGTCCTCTCCCGCAGCCAGCACAGTCAGAGCCCACCCAGTGCACCTGTTCCACAAACTCTGGCCTCTGCCCAGTCCCCCAGTCCCGACTGTGGCCTCTGCCCACTCCTCCACCAATCTCGACTGTAGCATTTGTCAAGTGCACCTGTCCCGACTGTAAACTCTGCCCAGTCGACCAATTTCGGCTGCAGCTTCTGCCTAGTCTATCACTTCACAGTGCAACTTTAATATCTACACCTACGTGATGTCCCCTGGAACGGCTCGGTTCTGCATGGTTGGAGGGGGCGGCTGCACGCGGCTGGTCCGCCGGAGCGGGGTGGGTCGACGGGTGGAGGGGGCGGCCGCACTCGGCTGGTCCGCCGGAGCGGGGTAGGTCGGCTGGCTGGCACCTCGAGCCCGTGGGAGCTGTCCCAGCTGTGTATTGTGACTGCCACAGTCTCCCCCGCGACCGAGCGCGTCCTGAGTCTTCCTGGAACGGCCGTTCGCACTGGGTGCCTCCCCCCCCTCCCCGACCGAGGGCCCTGCGCCCCACGATCGGTCGCCCCGTGCCGTTGCTGTCGGCCGCCCGCCTCGTGTCTTACACCCTCGACCCGACCGGCGACCGGTCACTGGCTGTTGTTCCCCTGCCACCAGTTGGAGTCGGTGACGGGTGACTTTGCGTTCGGATTTGACCGGCCCGTACACCGCGCGGTGGGCGTTTGCCTTAGTTGGAGTCCCAATTCCCAATTATGTTCTAGATTATCTCACCTAGAACCTAGTTTAGACATGAGTCTCAGAGAGGACGACACAGGCAGACGGGAGATCTCCATCACATGTAGCGCCAAGGTTAATGATGCACAATCATCTTTAGTGTAGAGTGTGGACGTTTGATGCCAAGGAGACACCTGGTTTTACGATGGAAGTGTGTTCGTTTCTGACGACTCTCAGTGGCGTCTAAAATGTCACCTCTCGCCCGGTCCAATCACTGTTTTGTTTTGTTTTTTCCGTCGGTAGCATACAGGTCGCCGATGACCACTGTAGTCCGGGCGCCCAAAAACCTCCCGGTAGCATACAGGGCGAATGTTTCGTGGGTTTGAGACTGTGTGATCGTGGAGACCGTGTCCCATCACTTGTGAACAACATGACTGTGTGGAAGTGGGGGACGGAGTCATTCACTACGAGCCGCCTGGTAACAGGGCTATGGGAGCTGCTGTGTGGAAGTGGGGGACGGAAGTCTTTCACTGTGAGCCGTCGGTTAGCAGGGCTGTGTGAGCTGCTGTGTGGATCTGGGGGACGGGGTCACTCACTGTGAGCCGTCGGTTAGCAGGGCGGTGTGAGCTGCTGTGTGGAAGCGGAGGACGGAGGAGCGTTCTGTGTGGCGGTCGGCGCGCTGGGACTGACCGAGCTGCTGGGTGAGAGGAGTAGGACGGGGTAATGCTCTGTGTCTGACAGCCAGGGCTGAGCCAGATGATGGGTGGAGGTTGGGGAAGAGTTAGCGCTCTGTGTGAACCGTCACCGCTGGGTTGAAATGGAGACGGTAATGGACCGTTCACTGTGACCGTCTGAGTAGCGAGGCTGAGTGACTGCTGGACGGACCTGGTGACGGTGTACCGTTCTTTGCGGCCCGCTCTGACCAAGCCGCCGCGTCTGCCGACAGCCACCATCACACAGCAGGCGGCGGCGGCGCTGGACGTACGGCCCCACGCGCTCTACATCCACTCGTACAAGTCGCCCACCTTCTGCGATCACTGCGGCGAGATGCTGTTTGGTCTGGTGCGGCAGGGACTCAAATGTGAAGGTGAGTCAGCCGGCGCGGCGGTCCGGCCCCGTCATCGGGTCACGGACAGCTCAATGCTGTCAATGTGCTGAAGGTCGATGTTAGTGATCTCCAGCATGCGATACATAGTTTGATATGGGGTCATCGTTGTAAGAAAATGCCATTTATCTGGACTTGGTGGATCGATGTGACGACTTTTGTGGTCAGCAGAACCGATACTTGCACCTCAGTACGTGTGCCCGATGTTGACCAGCGATTTCCGTTCGCGTTCCTCATAGTTCCTGGTCCGTAATTCGCATTGCGGATCGTTTTGAGAGTTTTTGGCGCACTACGGATCGGTCTGACGCGTGCCTTTTCTGCTGTCGGCAGGGTGCGGCAAGAACTTCCACAAGCGGTGCGCCATCAACGTGCCCAACAACTGCCTGCCGCGCGAGCGTCGGCGCAAATCGTCCTCATCCCACCTGCCGCAGTCGTCCTCCGTGACGTCACTCATCTCACACGCGTCCGAGGACTCGGTGAGGACCGCTTCCGTGTCTCCAGACCTGACCAAACTGACCCGACCCCGTGCTTGGCGAGGAGTCATTAATGGCCCTCCCGAGCTAGGCTGTCGTCATTATTCGTGACGGCGAGATGCAGCACTTTGGTTGCAGTGTGACGTTGCGCCGGCCGCTCCTTGTACGGCATTGGAAACAGAAGGTCTTGGAGTCTTGCAGCTGTCTGTTCAGCAACTGCCAGAGGGCCCTGGTGCTATGTACGGCAGCGTTCAGAGGACCCAGACCGTCTGTACGAAAGCCAACCGTTCTCCGCTGGTGCTCCCCCTGACCCGTGTTTCCGTCTGTCTGTTGTGCTTCCCTGACTCGTCTCCCCGTCTGTCTGTTGTGCTCCCCTGACCCGTCCCTCCGTCTGTCTGTCTGTTGTGCTCCCCCTGACCCGCCCCTCCGTCTGTCTGTTGTGCTCCCCTGACCCGTCCCCCGTCTGTCTGGTGCTCCCCCTGACCCGTCTCCCCGTCTACCTGTGGTGCTCCCCTGACCCCTCCTTCCGTCTACCTGTGGTGCTCCCCTGACCCGTCTCCCCGTCTACCTGTGGTGCTCCCCTGACCCCTCCTTCCGTCTACCTGTGGTGCTCCCCTGACCCGACGTCTCCCCGTCTACCTGTGGTGCTCCCCTGACCCCTCCTTCCGTCTACCTGTGGTGCTCCCCTGACCCGCCCCTCCTGTTATGCTCTCCCTGACCCGTCTCCCTGTCTGTCTGTTGTGGTCCCCCTGACCTGTCTCCCAGTATGTGGTGCTCCCCTGACCCCCCCCCCCCCCGTCTGTCTGTTGTGCTCCCCTGACCTGTCCCCCCGTCTGTATGTCTGTGTCAGCAGGGCACGGCCATGTCGATGCTGAACGGCAGCACAAAGTCCCGCTCGCCGTCGCTGTCCGGCCGGCCGCCATGGACAGAGCGCGAGATCGCCGGCCGCATCGGCATCCCGCACACGTTCGTCGTCCACTCGTACAAAAAGCCCACCAAGTGCATGCTATGCAACAAGCTGCTGGTCGGCGTGTACAAACAGGTATGGACGGGGCGGGGCTAGGTGTGGTGGCAGAGAATCGGCGGGGCAGGGGTGGACGGCAGCGCAGGGGAAGAGGTCGTCGGTGGTAGGAATGGGTCGACATGATCTTGAAGATGAGGTAGGAGGACGAGAGTTAGGGGATACGTTTGCGAATTGTCGGGAGTTGTGAAATAATTTTAGAAGTAAGACACTGCTTGCAGTCTCTAATGTTGGTTCATAGCTTTGAATACCTCCAAATCAAGTTACGTTGGCTTGCTTATCCGTTATCGTCGAGGGTGAAACGTATCGTCACAGTACCAAAATTCAGCTTGGACTTGGACTTGGACTTGGAGTGGCTATGGCTGTCTCCCTGTCAGGCTGATGGGAGCCCGTTGTCTGTTGGCCGCCGAGCTGAACTCAGCGTCTCTGCCGTCCGCCTCACAGGGTCTGCAGTGTCGCGACTGCAAGTACAACGTGCACAAGAAGTGCGCCGACCGCGTGCCGCACGCATGCACGGGCGACGCGCCGTCGGAGCCGGGCGCTCGCAGCCAGGAGGAGGACGCCAGCGACGCTGACTGCGAGCCAGACGCCGGCGAGCCGGACGAATCGGAGGAGGAGGAGACGGAGCCGGGCGGCTCGCCGACGGGCGGCCGGACCGGCGGCGGCGAGCCGCCCCCCGACCCGGCCGCCGACACAGACAAGGAGTCACTCTGCACGTGAGTGGAGAGACGCCCGGGTGGGGAGGGACGGGGCAGGGAGGCCGTCTGTGTGCTGCGGGCAGTCTGACTGTGGAAGGGAGAGGGTGTCTATCTGTGGTGTTTGCTCCTGTGTTTGTCTTCTAGTGAGTCGCGAAGAGGCAGATTATGCCGACAGTCTGATCTGGCTCTTCCAACAGTCTGTTCTGGCTGGAGCGCGCAGTCTGGAGTCTGGGCGGGTTCCCCGATACCCTGGACAGGTGCCCAGCGGTGGCCTTTTATTTTCAAACATTTGTAATTCGCGGTGAGGCGTGTTTACAGCCGGCGTTCCGGCCGGCAGAGTTTGGTGGCACGGGCTGCAACCGAATGGCACGGCTCGGGACGCGTTGAAACGGAGACGGGCTGGAACGGATTTGAATAATACGCATCGGATTGGGACGTAGACGGATGGGAACGGAATGGGACGAGCTGAGCGAAATGACGCCCGATTGCGACCAGTCACTATTGAGGAGAGTCAGATAGTGCCAAGCGAAGGCGGTGTTAAAACGGACGACTGCGACCATATTAATGGATGTGAGTCACCACTCACCGGGGAATGTAATTACGAGCGACCGAAGAACCAGTCTTCGCGGATTAGCGGAAAACGTGTGGCTGGCCGGCCGGCCGTGGTCACGCTTTTACGATGTTAATATCGCTGCGATCATGAGGCCGATTGACGAGCGGTCTGCTCAATTTGATAGTGTCATCACTTAGGCTTTATATCCAACTGCTTTTGGTGCGTCTGGGTGGCAGTAACGGCACGTACCGCGTGCCCATTGAGAGATGTTAAAAAGTTGTAAACAATCAATATTATTCCGCTAACAATAACACTGTAGTGGCCGGGGGCCGATTGCACTGTAACTTGTCCTGTCGGTGGGGACCCAGCGGGCGATTCATTTTACACCTTTTTGCACTCAAAATAGGCATCTTTTCATTCAATTTCGGCGAATTGCATTCAATTTTAGCGATCTCTCTATTCGAAGCAAATGAGAGATCGCTAAAATTGAATGCAATTCGCCGAAATTGAATGAAAAGATGCCTATTTTGAGTGCAAAAAGGTGTATATGCGTTACGGTAGGGCTCGTGAGCACGTGCAGAAATCGCCTATGTATCTAAAAGGCGGTTGGGTCATTTGCGCTCAAATATGGAAGGCTGGCTGGGACTGACTAGATGGGTGAGCCGCACAGCTTAGTTGAGATCTCACTTCGCACATGCGCTCGTGCAGTACCCAATACATAATGCGCTCGCTCGTTCGTCGCCCAAAAGGGGGTTACCACTTTATTTGTCAAGCTGTGCCCTGATTGTTCTCGCTCGTTCGTTGCCCACAAATCTTGTTACTGGCTTACAGAAGCTGGGCTCTGCACACGGTCTTGTATCGTTGTCACGCCGTTTTGAGGCCTGGAAGCGGTTCAATGCCATCTCTCGCCGCTGGCAGTATGAAGAGCGCCACTGTGTTTCGCTCGCTGCGCCTCTCGTCTGATAGATATGGGCGCGGCTCGCTCGCTCTCGCCTCGAGTGCGTATTGTCGGGAGTTGGCGCTGAAGAGGCCTCGTTTGAAGTGGCCGCGTCTCTGAACAGTAGCGCTTCCGATGGTGGGCGCGCGGCGCGCCGGTACTGGGACAGCGAGGAGGCAGCTCCTGCAGCGCCGCCGGTACTGGGACAGTGGGAGGCAGCTCCTGCAGCGCCCCCGGCACTGGGACAGTGGGAGGCAGCTTCTGCAGCGCCGCCGGTACTGGGACAGTGGGAGGCAGCTTCTGCAGCGCCGCCGGTACTGGGACAGTGGGGAGGCAGCTCCTGCAGCCGGTCTCCGGTACTGGGACAGTTGGAGGCAGCTCCTGCAGCGCCGCCGGTACTGCTGTGGGAGGGGACTCCGGCGGACGGTGGGTACCGGAGTGAGCGGACGACATCTCTCGGCCGTTTATGGTGATGAGCTGACGGACCAACCCCTCTGTTTCAGGAGCGAGTCGCAGAACATTCCCGTCCAGCGCCTGTTCCAGTCGGTGAAACACAAGAAGGCGCCGACGGTGACCATCAAGGAGGGGTGGCTGGAGCACTACACGGGCAGGAACCCCGAGGTAGGCGGCGCTTCACCGGGCCGGGGCGCGGGGCAGGATCTGTGGGCGGGGTACGGGCAGGTCCGAGTATTGTTGATTTTGTTTCATTGCTCTTCGGGTCAGGTCGTCCTACCGCCCACCGAAGCCCAAAGTCTGCCTGCCAGGCACGAACACGCACGTCATGATCTGGTGTGTCGGAACTCTGGACACACCCGGCTAAGTAGGCTTTTACTCCGAAGGACGAACCTTGACCCTTCGTCGCGCTCTATTTACAGAAAAAGCGTCACTTTTGGCGACTGGATACCAAATGCTGCACCCTCTACAACAACCACATGGACAGCAAGTTCTACAAGGAGATCGCGCTCTCCGAGATTCTGGCGATAGAGGCCAGCAAACCGAACGGTGAGTGGCGCCCAGCGCGCCGGACGGATGGGGAAGTGTGGGGCGGCCGGGAGAATAGAGGGACGGGCGACAGACTACAGGGGATGGGCGGGGAGCTAGATGGGACTGGTGGGAACTGCAGTTTGACAACCGGGGTATCGCAGACAACAGCTGGGAACTGCAGGGGACTGGCGGGAGACTGCAGGGAACTGCGGAGATAGTCGGGGAACTAGATGGGACGAATAAGTTTTGGTAGGGAAACTAGAAGGGATGAATTAGCAGGCATTCGTATTTGGTGCTGTTGTATCAAAAGGCAGAGCAGCCGGCAGTCGGATGTTCTGACTGGAACTACCCCCCCCCCCCCACCCCTCTCCGCCTCTGCAGACGACTCGTACTCATTCGAGCTGCGCACGGCCAACCTGGACTACTTTGTGCTGGAGCGTCCGGTGGCGGCACAGGGCCCGCCGCCGCCGGCCATCACCCTGCCTGACGGCACGGCGGTGGAGGCCGGCAGAGACTGGGAGCAGACGATCCGGCAGCTGATGCAGCCGCCGGGCGCTGCCGCCGCGCCGCCGCCGTCGGCCGCCCAGAGCGGCGCCGAGCGCGACACGGCCGAGCCCGACCCGTCCACCGACATCACCACCCTCTACCAGATCTACTCGGACGACGTGCTGGGCTCGGGCCAGTTCGGCATCGTCTACCGCGGCGTGCACCGCACCAGCGGCAGACAGGTGGCCATCAAGATGATCAACAAGCTGCGCTTCCCCAACAAACAGGAGACCCAGCTGAAGAACGAGGTGTCCATTCTGCAAACGGTCTCACACCCTGGAGTGGTGAGTGGCGCGCGTATAGACCGTTAGACCGCCCTCTGATAAGCTGTTCTCTCATACCTACTGGTCTCGCAGACTGCTCTCACACAAACTGCTCACATAGACTGTTTTCACACAGATCATCTTACAGACTGCTACTACAGCAGCTGAGGTCGCCAGCGGTGATGCGTGGCGCGCTTTACTTCCAGCTCATAAATGCAATAGATGTTTAGCCGTATATATCTGCTATGTGTCGGCTCATTATGTCCAATACGGCGATGAAAATGAGGGCTGTCCGCATATCAGTGCCCGGGCGGCTGCTTCCGGGTCCAGTGGGCGCTACCCTGAGCTTACACCGGTGACCGGCAGGCGGCGCACAGGTCTGATTGTGTGTAGTTACGCCGGTAACCGGTAGGCGGCGCGCAGGTCTGACGTGTAACTGCTCTGACGGCCGCCAGGTGGTGCTGGAGCGGATGTTCGAGACCCCGAACGAGGTGTTTGTCGTGATGGAGAAGATGGAGGGCGACATGCTCGAGATGATTCTCCAAGCCGAGAAGCTGTGCGAGCGGAAAACACGCTTCCTGATCACACAGGTAGGATTGTCGGCGGCCACGCCCTGTCCCCGTGGTGTGCACTAATCCCCCTGACCGCCAGTGCCCCGTGGTTGCCCCGTGGCATCTCCCGACTCTAGTCTCCCTCTAGGCTCTAACAGTACTCTGATCACCAGTCTCCTGTATTTGTATCCCCTAGCCGCCAGTCTGAGTGGTCATATGCATCAGTATTATATTTCTCTTAGGCTGAAATGAAATATAAAACCAGGAGAAACACGCACAGTGTAATATCTGCCTGTTCCGCCCCTACGCCGTCTTGTAGCTGAGTTTTGTGAACTGTTCCCTGGTCCGCTCGGCCCCCGCCCCTGCCGCCGTCCCCTGCCGCCGCCCCCTGCCGCTGTCCGTGGCACCCCCACCCTGCCATCGTCCCCTGTACCGTACGGTGGCCCCGCTCTGCCCCCGTTCGTGTGCGTCGGGTCTCCCCCGCCCTGCCGCCGTCCCGTCTGCCGCCCGTGACGCCGCCGGTGTCCCGCCCTCAGATCCTGGTGGCGCTCAAGTACCTGCACAGCCAGAACGTGGTGCACTGCGACCTGAAGCCAGAGAACGTGCTGCTGGCCTCCAAGGAGGAGTTCCCGCAGATCAAAATCTGCGACTTCGGCTACGCCAAGATCATCGGCGAGCGTTCGTTCCGCCGCTCGGTGGTCGGCACGCCCGCCTACCTCGGTCAGTCGCCGGCACGGCACGGCGCGTGTCGCGGGCGCGGGACCCGATACGGGCTCCATATCACGGTCATGGGTCGTGTCATAGTCACGGGACGCATCACGGTCACCATATTACCGTCACGTAAACCTTATGCTGTCACGGTTACGGGACACGTCACGGGTTCCATATCACGGTCACGGGTCGTGTCATAGTCACGGGACGCATCACGGTCACAATATTACCGTCACGTAAGCCTTATGCTGTCACGGTCACGGGACACGTCACGGGTTCCATATCACGGTCACAGAACGCACCACGATCATAGTATTACAGTCACGTTGACCTTGTACTGTCACAGTCACGGGACATGTTAGGGGCTCCATATCACGGTTACCATATCACGGTCACGGGAGACGTGTGACGGTCGCGATCAGCCCATCACGTGCTGCGGTAATCTGCGCTTCTCTGCGACGGCGCGTGCGTCGTTGGTTTCCTAATGCAGCGGTGAGCGCGGTGCCGATCCCGGAGATTATCACCGCTCAGGCGCCGCACCTCTCCCCCGGTACTCCCCCGGTGTGGTGTAATCACTCTGCTATCGCTCCAAACGTATTTGCCCTCATTCCATTGGAGATTTTTATAGGCTGTTCTTGCGTCACGAATCGGTGATCCCTGCGATTTAGCACTTCAGTGCTGACATCTCAAGTAGCTGGCAATGTTGACTTTGTCTGCCAGAGTTCGGCTCCAGGGGGGTCACATAGGCACTATCGCGTGGGGTCGCGGTGTGCCGCTGCGTCCTCCGCTCGCTATCGACGCCGTGTGGTACGCGGTGGGCAAACACTGCTCGGAGAGCTGGGTGACATCACCTCCACCGGCTCGAACGGTAGTAGTGTGTCGAAACCGGAAGGCACACTGCAGCGCGGTGCATGGGCGGGTCCCACCCCAGCTGCCGAGCGCCGACCGGCCGGCCGGGCCTATCCGCCGCCGACGGACCCTGGCGCTGGCTGAGACCGATACCCCACCCCCCCCCCCCCCCCTGACCCCCGGACCCGTCCCCGCCCGCAGCGCCCGAGGTCCTGCGCAATAAGGGCTACAACCGGTCGCTGGATATGTGGTCGGTGGGCATCATCATCTACGTCAGCCTGAGCGGCACGTTCCCCTTCCACGATGACGAGGACATCAACGACCAGATTCAGAACGCCGCCTTCATGTTCCCGCCGCACCCGTGGAAGAGCATCAGCCAGGAGGGTAGGTCGCCGACCGGCGGGTGCGAGTTACCCAGCTCTGGGCCTGCTGCTGCTCTGTCTCCCGTCTGTACCGTCCGCCGTCCGCTAGTTTCACAGCGCTTAGGGTGGAGTAAATTAACAAACTAAGTTCGCGTAGGACGCATGACGTTTACAAAGCCCAGTGGAGATAAATTACCGTGATGTGTATGTTTCCTGTCGTTATTCACGTCAGCCACTGGTTCCGTGTTCACTGTTCCATTCTTACCTTTGTCTGCTCATGTCTTCCCCAAACACCCTCCCGTTCTCCCAGCCGCTTCCCCCACTGTCCAGTGCCCCCCTCGCGCCCCTCCCTCTCCCCTGTCTCATTGTCTCCCCGCTGACAGCGCCCCTCCCTCTCCCCCCGGCAGCGATCGAGCTCATCAGCTGCCTGCTGCGGGTGAAGGCGCAGCGCCGCTTCACCGTTGACAAGAGCCTGATGCACGTCTGGCTGCAGGTATGTCGCCTCGCTGCTGTACCCCTTTTCCCCGACGGAACTCCTCCCCACGCTGTGTAGACACTGTGGAGAGGGCGCTTTCGTGAGCTCAGAGGATAATAGTCATCAGACGAACTGCATCGCAACAGCCGTGCTGGCTGACAGTTATTTGAACTCCTAGAAGCGATGTTTATTAGAGTCCCGAGGACGCCTGAAACATGATTCAGCCCGCTGTAGTCGGGCAGGCTTTCTTCATGCTTGTCGGCCAGTGCATTGAGTCACATTTGCAACGTATTTTCAACACATTGTGTCTTGGCTTGAATCAAGGAAGCATTCAGCTCGCTACTTTAAAATTGCTGTATGCAGCAAGAAATGTGGGAAAATTGATTTGGAATTGTTTAAGAAAGAAAAAAAACAGAAACCTGGCTTTTCTCGTCATTTTCTATATTTTTTTTTTTTTCGTTTTCGAACTTCGGATCTGCTGTAATTGGGCAAAATGGAAACTGGTATCACTAGCACTGTGTTTGTTTTCGGGTGTTTGTTCAGCTGCGGAAGTTTACACTGCACTGTGGCTGGCCGCGGCGCGCCGGTGCCAGTGCGCGGTGCGACACTGGTTCTGTTACGGTGTATGTGTGAGCTGGTGTGTACCGCGCCCCTCTAACCGCCCGCCCCGGCAGGACTTTGAGTGCTGGTCGGACCTGCGCGCGCTGGAGCGGCGGCTCGGCAAACGCTACCTGACGCACGAGTCGGACGACGCGCGCTGGCAGGCCTACCAGCGCCAATGGGCGGCCGGCGCCGCGCCGCCGCGCAACTGACTGCTCCGCCGCGCCGGCCGAGCACGTGCCGCGCGCCGCGCCGGCGTCCGGGGGCGCTGTGCGCCCGCCGAGCCGCGCCCGGCCCAGCCGAGGTATCTAACTGGATGCGTGAGTGAGTGATCAGTGGCGCCGTGACGATTGTGTGTCTGTGCGAGAGATTGGGCAGCCTGATGTTGGCGCGCAGTGAGAGGCGCCCTGCCTATATTTGTAAGAGAGCCGAGGCGATCTGCCTGTATTTGTAATGACGGGGGTTTACCCCGACCGGTGCTGCTGGAGGACCACGAACTGAGACGCCCGGCCAAACTGTACAGCCGATATGTGACGATGTGTAAGTACAGCTCGCCAAAATTTATAGCCGCAGCCGCGCGGCGGGCGCGGGCCCAGAGAGACCAAAAGTCTAGTTAGTTTGTGAGATGTGTATGCGCCGGCCGGGCTGATGTGGCGAGCGTTGGCCGCGGACTGTCGGCCGTCGGAGCGGCACGGGTGCGTTCACATTCCGTGGTGGTGGCCGGGTAGGGGTGTGTGGGGCGCGCCGCGGCCGCCGCCGGCCGCCGCGCCGGGCCGCCCCGGCCGGCCGGCTGTCTTCCTGCGGCTCGTGCGGCGGCCGGCGGCGGCGCGCGCCCCTCGGCCCAGCTGAAGTGCCTGGCACGCGCCGCCCCTGCCGGCGCTGGGCGGGCCGACGATGCAATGTGCTGGAGTGGCGGGCGCCGACGGCGGCTGGCCGGGCCTGGTCGCGCCCGTCCGGCCCGACTCGTGATAGCCGCCGCGCGCCGACCGGCACCGGCCGCCTGGCCGCCAACACCGTGTCTTTATGCATTCGCTTGTATATCGTTCCATTGAGGTGTGGGTGCGCGCACCGGGGCCGGCGCCGCAGCCCCGCGTCCGAGCGCCCGCACTCGGCTCGTGCTCGTTAAGTGGTTTGTAAGTGTTATCGGTCGTAATTCAATTTTATTATAATATACTCGTACTTGATATCGTGAATGTGGGACATGGTGAAATGCGTTATCGTAGCAGCTTTGGTGAGCTAGCGGGTGAGGAATTACGGGGCGTTTGTTCGGCTAGAGTACAGGGAAATCGTCTGGAATGAATCCGAATATCCGAATAGATAGATAGAATCCGAATAGGGGAACAAGTTTTGTGCTTTAGGTAGCACATGTCACCCCAGTCTAAAAATATTCCACCCAATGTTCGATGTCGCATACCAACCGCTTTAGAGCCACGAAGGCGCTCGAAATGGTAACTTCACTTCACTTCACTTCAGTATATTTTGGAAACGAAGAACAAGAAACATCGGAGAAAATAATCACGGATCGGCGCAAAAGCAAAATGCTTAAATCAAAGCACCTTTCCTACAAAACCTAAACACAAATAAACGCACAAAAAAAATGAAATATTAACACGTAAATTAAGTGCAAAATAAAACCACCTGGCAACAGGTCACGACGGCCCAGCCAGCAGCCCGCCGAGCAGCCCTCCGGACATAGTCACAGGTGTCCGGGCCCCGGGCAGCAACAATCGAGTACGATGTCGTGTAGTGTGTGTGTGTGTGTGTGTGGGTATGTGTGTGTGTTATTGCTGTGTGTGCGTGTTGAAGCGTTACTACAATGTATGCATGGAGATGATGTGTTATGCTGATTCCCTGGTTCTCAGTAAGATCATGGCCGAATAGGAGTGCACTAAGCTTGCATTTGTAGGAAATGTTTTCGAAGTTTTGTATGATTGTTCGCGCCGCGTTGAGGAGGAGTGATCTTTGGTGTGTGTATAGGGGGCACCGGAGTATGTAATGTGCAGTGTCTTCTTGGTGATGTCCACATGTGCATGCTGGGCTTTGTGCAAGTTGGTGTTGATATAGATGTGCATGTAGATGTGATAGACCGACTCGTAGTCTGGTGTGGTATGTGTTAGCCCTTTTTGTCCCTACTGAATGCAGTGTTGGTGGCTCCGGTGCCCCAAATCGCTGCCAGACTTGACGAGTGAATTCACGGCGGGATGGGGTATTGCGAAGGGTTTCAGGAAGAAGATTCCATTGCCGAATGGTGGCAGGGATAAAGGACTTACGGAAGGATATTAAACGGGTAGTAGGGACTGAGAATAGTTGGGCTTGGCGTAGTCTTAGTCCCGTAGCCCTTTGTCGTGTGTTTGTTATGAGGCTTGTCAGGTATGAGGGGAGGGGAGGGTCGTTGTATAAAAGTCGATGGAAAAATATTAGTCTGTGTATGCGTCGTCTGTCTGCCAGTCGTTCCCAGCCCAAATCTTTAAGTAGTGCGTCAGTTGATGCTCGAAATAGGGCCCCAGTCACCAGTCTTGCGCAGCGATTTTGTAAAGTTTGCAGTCTCGCTGAGTCGAACAAGGTCAAGTGTCCATCGTAAATAATGTCGCAATAGTCAAAGTGTGGTCTAATGTATGTCGTAATCAAGTCACATTCAGCACACGTCTCGGTAAAAATTTCGCAATAGGGTAAACTGGTCCTAAATGATAGTTCACTGTCTTGATGATCGAATTTACATGTTCATGGAAATGTAGATCAGTGGAAAAGGTAAGGCCGAGATGTTTGTGACTTGTTGAACTTGGTATCCTTTGTCCGTCAAACTTTAATCCTGGATTTGAGTTATTTTGTTTGTTTGTAAATGTTTGCAATACTGTTTTTGTGCACTAAAGGTAATAGCCCATTCTGATCCGTATTTACTGATATTGTCTAAATCGTTTTGTAGGGATTGTGAATGCGTTTTGCTGTTCTGTGGATAGGAGGAGTATAGAGAAGTATCATCTTCGTTTGTTGTTTTGTTTGATAGGTCAAGGTACATCAGGGCGAGCAGAGGCCCAAGAACGGAGCCTTGAGGGCAGCATGCCATAATTTTTTTGTGGATGAGAAAAACTGGTGCCTAGGCTATGCGTACTACTTGGGTTCTGTATGAAAGGTAACAAGTTAGCCATGATAGAAGAAGTAGAAGAAGAAGTGATAGAAGTAACGAAGCGCATAGGGACAGAATCGCATCAGCAGTCTAAAGGTGCCCCCTGAAGCATAGTCGGTTCATACAAAAGTGCAAGGCTTATCTAGCGCTACGAACGGCGCTTTAGCTTGGTCGCTGTATCCTGACAATTCATAAACTGTTAGCATATCCCTCGAGCTGGTGTCGTCAGTCATCACCCTCTGACCTTTACCGATTGTTTAATGCCATTCCTGTGGTCAACTCGCGCGACCGGTCGCCCTACAGATTCAGAACGGCGCGCTACAGGCCGGGGTTAGCGCACTCCCGACCAGTGCTCAACCCTCGCCTGGCTGGGGGTTTCAGCCGCGCAAGCCATGTTGGAGGGGAACCACTTTAATCACTACCAATTATTCCGAAAACTTAAAAAGACGCGGTAAAAGCGGTGGAACGTTTAAAAAGCTAAATATGTCGATAAATTTGACGTCAGGTAGGTAGACCGTATGACCTACAGAGGTCAAGGAAAGTGTAAATCACCATTTTTTCCGATACCGTTTTACGATACACTGGTTTTACTATGACTGCACTGTATGAATGTGAATAATTTTACCATCATTGCGTCGTTCTAAATAGCACGCATTTTGTGAATGTGACGTGTATTTTCAATGAACATTGTGACCTAAAAAGGCAAAGTTTAAGCTTGGCTTCATGTCAAGTTGACCTGAGCCCATTTCTTTAGCGCATTTGTTTTTTGTGTAGACTTATCAGGACGCCTCTCACTAAAAATGTGTATGCCATGGCCGTCGCTATTGCGGTTTCCCGGTCGCATTTTCGCCCTGAGTGAAGGGGGAGAAAGGTTGGTGACTGCGGGGATATGACCCCCCCCCCCCCAGTTAAAATGTAGCAATGCAAGAAGAGTCCATGTCTTCCGTTCCGCAGACGGGCGCTCGTGAAACACACTGCAGGGGCGTTCCACGGCAAATCGACAAATAAAAAATTAAATTTGCACCCTCATATTTTATTCTTCGCTGAAAACTGGTGTAAGGGGTTGTGATGGGCGGGGAAGCCAGCTGTGGCAAGGATTTTTTTTCTTCGAACAACGGTTTCCGAGATATAGCCTCGGGCAATTCCTGGAGGTCGCGCTGCAGCCCTATGTTTGGCGGCCTATAACTCAGAAACTATTTGTTTTCTACGATAAAAACTTTATATGGTTCAACTCACAATCAACCAACAAACATTTTGGCTATCTCGGATTTTCAATTTTTGAAAATTTTGATCACGTGACCTTTTAACCTATTTTTCGAATAGTGACCTTAATATTTTCCCCACTGAAAGTTGCAATTTTGTCTGATGACGATTAAAGCCTTATCAATTGTCATTCATATGCGATAATAAAAAAGTGGCTATCGCCCTGCGTTGACCTCAGGTCAGGTCATTTTTATGACCTGTCCATTATTACGAGCGGGAGCGACAGCGAGATCTCGAGAATAAAGCAAGATAGCGACAAGCGGTAAACGGTGCAGGGTACACACGGATAAGGTCTATAATTTTTACGAGGTCATTTTCAGGTCAGGTCGAAGATGACGTCACAGGAGCAAAAAGGAAGTCAAAATTGCGGCACTACATATATGTGAAGTTTTTTCTCAAATAACTTTCAAAGTATCCCAGCTAGGAACAAACTAATAGTACCATCGTGATCTTCTCGTCGATCCGCATCGAAACATATGTATGTTGACCTCGAAAGGTCGAAAGGTCAAAAGTTGACCTTAGGTCACGTGTCACGTGGGGCATTACACGATAGATCGTACCAGGCCCGTCACCCTCATCTCTCAGTCAAATTAGATTTGAATGAAAATTGGTACTAGGGGTAATCATAGGCTCCAAAAACACCTGCCAAAATATCAGACTTCTCAGATGAAAACTTTTTGAGCTACATTGCAAAATATTTTCTTAACTTCAGATTGTAAGGGTGAGTTTGATGAGCTATAACTCAAAAACGAAACGGTAAACAGCTTTGACTAACGATGAATTAAAGATTAATACAGTTTTTTTTAAATTGGAAAGAAAAGCTTTAGGGGAAGTTGGGGGAACGCCGAAGACTTTTTTTCTGACGCCCGTAGCACGCAAGGTAGACAACATACGCTATTCTTGTTGGCGTCATTCGAGAGGCCAGTCTTTTGCCTTTCAAACATACCAGGCGCATTTGATGAATTCGCATACCGTTAAAGGAAAAGGGCCACCTTTAACATGGGGATTGAAACTGAGATAGCCATCTTGTAGCCCGTGTCCGAAAACCTGACTGTCTACCTCCTTACGGCCGAGTTCGGCCTCCATTCGTAGTTATCGGCAATTTTAAAAGAAAATACGCCAGGAATGCGTCCTTATCCCAGGAATGCGTTCTTATCCGACAATACAGCCACCCGCGGCGAGGCTTTGGTTTTTTACCAATCAGCTCCAACCAGCTCAGCTTTAACCAATCAGCTTATCTGACACAATCCGACGAGTCTGTCTTCTGAACGCTGATTGGCTTGAGTGTGACGTCATCGCTATGCCATCATACAGTAGGTGCCGTAGAGAGTATCAACAGTACCAATATGTTAAATAGTTTTAAATACTTTTTCGCGAATTGTGCACTTCTGGCACCACTGTTTTAAAAAGAAAATGAAAAATAATAATGTCAAAATGAAAAGCAACGATATCTTCATATTTCACGAAGGTGGCCCTTTTCCTTTAAGCGCACAAACTAAAAATATCAAAGAAGTGACTTTTTCGGCGTTGCCCCGGACTGCGGGGAAAGCCGAAAATGGGAGAAATGATCTACGGGGAATGCCGACATTGATGTTTTGCCATTTTATCTCAAACTTTATCCAGAATTCATCAAAGCTGACACACGTTTCAAGAGCTTGAGGACGCGGTGCACACTGGAAGTTATAATTGTGTGATATAATAAGAAAATGCCAGGTAAATCATTCCTTATAGGTAACAGGCCGTTGTGTCGGTTGAAAGTGTAATTTGTGTGACTAAAAATACGCGTTGCTATTCTACAG